CAGTGTGCTTTTTAGAACGTTGTTAGTTATCAAGGCCCTGCATGGTGGTTTCTGTATTTAACGTCTTCCCCACATTGTTTTACGTTTTTGTGGGGAAGGCTTGTTTCTTCTAATGTTAACAAATTTTATCATTTTTATCCTAGGATCAAGAATGGTAAAAAGTATAATTTTTAGTTTCCTATCAGAGTCTGTGTTGATTAGGAAGTAGCAACCGTAAATACAGGTATTCAGAACATCAGTTCTGGAATTGATTCACCTTGGAAGTGAACGCATGAACGTAGTTGAATAGGAGTGGGGGTCCGGCCCCCAGCCTGGGATTTTTAACTGGGTCTGGGCTTTTGAGCACGGGAGGGACTAGGAGGAAGTAACGCCTTGTAGAAAGAAATGTTCATCCTTCCTGCAAGTCAATATCAGAGTTAACATCCTCTCAGGTGAGCTGGTCGTTTTTATGAACGTAGTGAAATTATATGCAAATAAAAGTTTTATATATGCGTGTTATAAATACATGATACAAATACAGAATAATCACACCAAAGCCGGGAGGTGTTTTGTTTTTTGGTTTTTTTTTCCCCCTTGACAACCTTGAAACCCTTTCCCTTGAAAATGATACATGTTTATCATGTCAGTAAATGTGACCGTTTGAAATACTGCGCAGGGAAGTGTGAAGGGCTACTCAGTCTAATCTGACTGCCGTCTTCAGTGTTCAGCACATGAGCGATCCATTCGCGCTAAGGAGCCCCTGCTTTAGAGGGAACTTGGGTGGAACGTGGATGGAGAGCTCGCCCAGAGCAGGCCTGTGCCAGGCAGGCGGCGTGTTACTGCGATCCGTGTCCCTCTGAGCTCAGCTTACCTGTGGTTTCCCCAGGAGGCCTCCCCGCTGCCTGCCGTCTGACACCGGCCCCACGGCTCTCTCCGCCCCGCCGCTCTGTTCACTGCAGCATTAGCCATACCCGTATCTCCTGGTCAGTTTGCTTGATTTTATCGCCACCTGCTAGCGTTCGAACAGCCTTTCCTGCTCCGCCTATCAAAGGCCAGCACTAAAACAACCGAGTGATCAGTTTGCGGTCGTTTATCCAGGTGGGTTGAGGGTACGGGGCCTCAGCAGCGCTGGGTCCTCCTCCTGAGGCCAAAGGTGAGGTTTATAGAGGTCGGAAGGGGCAACCTGGAAGCAGGGCCTGATTGGCTAGGAGGTGGGGGTCTCCTTACAAGGCCGGCAGGTCCCGTTTTCTAGGGTGAGTGGAGGACTGTGATTGGTGGGTATTTGGTTTCCTTGGCAGGTGTTTCCCGTAAGTGCAGGCGGGCTTAGGTTTAGAATTTAAGATGTGGACCAGGCGCCTGGAGTGGCCTCCATTTTACGGGTCCCCCTATACACCTTAACTTTATCACCCCAGTCTCAGAATGTGAGTTTGTGAGAGCAGGGATTTGTCGGATCTGCTGCTGTGTCCTAGAGTCTAGACCAGGAACTTACACGTAGGAGTCACTCTGTAAATGGAGTAGTAAGTCAGTGACTTAAGAATGGGACCCTCTGAACATTGGGAGAATATATGCACTCACGTTTTAAAAAGGAGAAATTCCAATAGTACCTATAGAGTGGATCCTGGTGATAGAAAACATTTGCACCTTTTGTTCGGTTCAAAGGAAGGAGGAGGAGAAGAGTGTTCTAGAAGCGGCGGCCTGGACTCCTCCCAGGACTGGGAGCACCTGCACCTGTGAGTGAGCCGTCCTACCTGGCAGTTCCCCATGTGGAGCTGGGGTGAAGGGGGCCGAAAAATGCTCTGCTGAGAAGCCTGCGGCAGGTGAGATACCCGGACTGTCTGAACCCCAGGAGCAGGGCTGTGACTCTGGGAGTCCAGAGATGAAGAAGAACACTGTTGTATGAAGACACGGGGGGAACCAGTCAAAGGGCTGAGTCCTGTTGGCTGACTCAGAAGGCACGGGGCTCACTCTTCACGTAATCTGATCGCTTATAATACA